TTCTCTCTCTCTCTCTCTCTCTCTCTCTCTCTCTCTCTCTCTCTCTCTCTCTCTCTCTCTCTCTCTCTCTTACTCATTAATCGCTGCGTTGGATAAACACATTAGTGGGGAAAACCAGAGAAATAGTATTTTGAGTAAGGAGAAGCAGAGCGACACAATAAAGGTCATTAAGTGCATGGAAACACAGATACACACAAAAAAAACTAAACGAGGGAAAGTAACAAGCGAAGGACCTACACCAACTGAAAAATAGTGTAGTTTTAAAATTGAACCCATGGTCATGACAAAAATGATATCTCCAACACACTGAATTAATACATTCATGAAGAACAATACATATGACGGAAAATCAGTAAAATAAACGAGGAAAGGCCACCATAACTGTCATATCCATCGACAGCAATCATTTCTTCTTGCTTGTTTGAGAAAAACAACAACACATAGACATAATAATAATGGTCATTAAAGATAGTGATGGGAAAAAGTAGGACACACAGATAGAAGTAACAAAGGGAAAGTAAAGAAATAAGACCTACCAGCTGCACCCTCCAACACCTCGTTAAGACCTAAATCTCCCCAAAAAGCAACAGCCATATGTGCGTGCCTATACAAGTCAGCGTCTTTGTGTGTTTCTGCGTGCGTGGGGAGGGGGGTGTTGGGAGGTGGTTGATGTCCTACCTCCATAAAGTTCAAGTTATCGACTCTTCAAACAGGGAGGCAGTATGATTTTCAGACCATGGGTTTATGCTAACTGTAGTGCCTAATCACAGAGGGCAATTCACGCTCCCCTACCCCACCCTACCCATTTCGAGTTCATCGTCCTAGTGGAAAAATCCTCAACAAGTACAAAACACTTTCCGACCAGCATTAAAGTTAAAGACATCGTGGAAGAATAAACTCCATGGAAAAAAGGGGGAAGAAAGAGTAACTCTTTCATTTCTTTTACACCTCAAACTCTCGCATCTTTGCCACATTCGTAACCAAAGGCCCCGGGTATGTGGTACAGGAGCTGAAGAGCGCAGAATAAAATAGCTGGTGCTTTCAAGTTATCCGCTGGACCGTGCGCCTCTCCAGTCGAAGAGAAAGGCAGACCTACGTCAACAGGGATAATGGCTATGCAGCGTTCCGAGGGGAAATTTGGGGGGAGGGGGGGAGAGGTGGCGAACACGAATTCAACAGGCACAACAAGTAAACTCGAAATCAAACTTGAAACATCCAGGGTAGTCTTCA